AGCAAGGAATTTTTTGAAATCGATGCCACTCCAGTAATTTCCGAGATATGTTCTATAATATTCCATATCATATCCAGAACGATTACTGACGGGCTTAGGTAATTGCCATTGTTTTTTATCAATAATCATATTAATGTTAATAGCACTTGCCAAGGTAACAACCGTCATATTTAGCAAATTATATTGATTTTATTGATTTTATTGATTTATAGTGTTTTTAGCGAATTCTTAAGTAATATATACTATAGAATATCATCATTCAAATTTATACAGATTTGCTGATTAGTGGTTAATTAATTTGTAGCTGATTTGAGAGACTACATACTGCTAAATTTATTTTTACTTCAGAACTTCAGAGTGAAAACAGATTCATTGATTCAGTTAAATTAGATCCAATCACCATAGACAGCTAAATTAAGCACAGCGCCTTTGGCCAAATTGGCATATTGCTATTTTAGTATGATTACCATTATGTTATTTAGGAGCTAATCTAGAATAAGTAGATCATAATCTTTATTCTGCATAAACCTGCAGGTAGTACATTTCACTAGATGAATAAAAATTTTATGTCGCACATGCCTACATGCATTAGCCATAATATATTATTTTATTAAGACAATATTTGGGATCTGGGTCAAGAACTGATCTGAAAAATTCGGCAGGTATATATTTCATGCATAGCGCCTTCAACCAATTTTATTAGGTGATCATATATGCAAGATTATATAGTTATTATTTCGCAAAAAATAAAGTATAAGCTATGTTTGGCTAAATATAATTAAGATACATAATGCTAATATTCGATTGAATGATATTGCGAAGTGTCTTAATGGCTAAGTCTATTTTCTTCCTGCATTTTTCCACACAGAATCAAAATATGCTTTAGCAAGATTGTTTAAACTAGTCCTGCTAGAAATTTCAGGTGCACTTACACTATGTCGCATTAATGCATTAGACTTTTGTGGCAATGAAGAAGAAGTTGGCCTATTTAATATTTCAGATCTTTGGTTCAACACATGATGAGAAATCAGCGAAACCATTTTTTGCTTAGCATTAGAAATATAAGCTAGCTCAAAATTTGGAGCACTTGGCATAGTATTTTTTTCTGCTATAGTTGTTTTGGCCAAAAGGTAAGCTTCATAGCTAACTGAACGAGTATCATAATCATATGATATTGATGCCAATTTATCCTTTTCTGGGTGTGAAGTAGATTGGAAAAAAAGCTCTAAACGAAGACGATTAAGCTTAGCCTCTTCTTGTAATATATATTATTTATATATCCAGATAGTGGATTCTCTTTTAACAATAGATTGGAGAATTTCTTTTCTTCTTGCATATTCGTTTGAAATAATATTTCTATTAATACATCTCTTAAGATGATTATCTTGATAGGAAGCTTCTAAACGAGGAGTTTCAGGTATAAAAACTAAGGAGTCACATATACTACAATATATATAATTGGATGGAAGACCATGAACTCTATTACTTCTTTCAATTAATTTTTCATACATTGTAATGTATCCATTCCCAGAAAGGATTCTTGGATTCTCTTCAAATATTTTCCTAAATGGATCACAGATACGAGAGCACCACATTTCTGGTGTTTCATGATCATATCGTTTACCTAAAGGACATAATGCTTCTAATATTCTTCTATATTCTTCGAAGTTTACATCACTATAGCCTACAGAAACTAGCTTATATTGGGCTCTACTATCTAAATCCATAATAGTGTTTTAGTAGATTATAACAGATTATAATGATTTTATTGATTTTATAGTGTTTTTAGTGTTTTTAGCTGATTTAGCAATATTATACTATAATAAAATATCAGATTCATTTTTATTCGGATATGCTAGATCGAAGAAAAAAAAACTTGATACATGAATAGATCTAATTATTTCTAAAACATCGCCTAAATAATGCTGAAGGGGATTCATATTCATTGTAATACCATTCCTGTATTATTTTATGTGTATCCGTTCCATCACTAGACATGATTACCATATCCGATGCTCGCAAAGTTCGGTATGTTGCTTGATTAATCAAACTTATCCAATTTCTATCAGTTTTATTGCAAATACGGCATATGGCAACATATTTGTCTGAATATAACATGCTTGTGAAAGCTTATCTATAAAACACCCTAGTACTATTTCTGTATATTGGTAATAAAAGCCTGATCTATCCGGAGCTAAATATATAGCAAAATCTGCCTCTGGGATAGTAATATTATTTTTCGTACCATTTCGTTTATTAGGTACGAGCTATAATTCAATTTTCACATGGAAGGCGTAGATTTTGGGTGAATGCGTGAAACATTTTACTCATACTAAAATTATTTTCAGATCCACTATGACGTATATCGTAATACAGGTATCATCCTAGCTCCATGGATAGTTCCTCGGCACTTCCTCGACAAAAAATTTTCTGTTTCATATGGCAGTATTTGTATTTTATACTGTTAGCGATCTATTATAGGGGTTAGGATGATTTTCATTAATTGATCCAATTTGTAAGGACTAGCAACCAGAAAATCTCATTTTAATTCTGTTAGATTCTGATAAACAAGATCATTGTGTGGCATAAAATTTCTATATAAAATCATGAAAAATATTCTTCTAACGTAATAATCATAAACTTAAACTCATAATCTCCTAATCTTAATACATAATGAATCTCTAACTCATCTTGATCTTCATCTTTTCTATCCTCTTCGTTATCATTTACTCTGACGAACTGGTTCCTCTCAAACAAAGCACACCTAATCCGGTTGTCATCAAGAAAGGTGGAGACAATAAATTACATATAGATGTTTCATGGGAAGGACTTGCAATAGGAGAGAAAGGTAAGAATGATATAATAAGTAAAACAGTCACCTATTTCTTATTTACCGAGTATTTTACTGAGTATTCTTCACACAAACAAAAGACAAAGTCGTTACCAAACTTACGTGTTTCAGTACTGCTGTAACCATCAAAGACTCTCCTCAGGTAATTTACCATATTTCCTTTTTTTATCACAAAAACTGCTTTTTTTTTTATTAAAAAATTTGTTTTCTAGAATCATTTATATAGTGATGGTAAGGCCACCTATGAAGTAACCGTCAATGAGAAAGGAAAACTCGTACATTGTAGATCAGGATTACTTATTATTATTGGTTAAAAAGTCTGGTTTTCTTTTCAGACTTGATTCGTCGCTAGTTTGACGGTTATTTTATCACATTAAATTAATTATAGCATTGCAAATAACTTTCCCGATACATACATACTGTACCTGTGTTAAAACAATAAATTTTTAGCATTTTTACTGCAACGCAAATATACAAGTTTGAAAAATATATGGTTCTGGAAAATTTGTATTTTGTATATTTTGAGACTAATACATACTTCTTGGCAGAAAATTGCAAAATTCCCATCATCAATAGTATAAATTTCGTGTGGTTCAGCTCTCTGGGAAGGTTCAGAGAAAAGATGAGGAGCCACTCTATGACCCAAACTCATTAGAAGTAATGCGATCGATTCCTGGAACGCCATTAAGGTGAAAAAAAAAGTCCATGTTAACCTACCGTATTCCTCCGAAAATAAGCAACGTAATTTTGTTATAACGTTGCTTATTTTCGGGTAGTTAAATTTTTTTTA